AATGTAAATTTGAAACAGTCCTTAGGCCAAAAAAAATAATACATGTGTTTCCTATTTCCCTACCTACCCTATATTTTAAGCTTAGAAATAGCCTACATGTACCTTATAGTTTTTTTGGTCATTTTTCAATAAGCACTGTTAAAGTCAGAAATTCTCTCCCATAGACTCAATGTAAAATAAACAAAAAATTCTCTACCTACCTACCGTATTTTTTTCAAAGATGTAATAGGAAACACACATATTATTTTATTTAGCCTTACTTTATGTTTGAGGAATTTAAGGTTGTGCATGTTTGAAGGGTAAAGGTTCCTGCTTCCCTAATGGAAATCAGTATAAGTAAAAATCTGATGAAATATTCTGTAATATTCCAAAGTTTTATATTTCCGTTAAATGAAAATTTATTTTTATGTTACAGAAACAGAAATGTGATGAGGATATTTTGGCCTCTGATTGATGAAGAAGAAACAAACACAGATCATTACTTTGAACGTATGAAACAGGAGGGTAAAGACAGGTTCAGTGGGGATGAGGATGACGATAGTGACAGCTCAGGTAAATATTGCTCGTTACTTAGAACGTATGAAACAGGAGGGTAAAGACAGATTCAGTGGAGACGAGGATGACGATAGTGACAGCTCAGGTAAATATTGTTCATTACTTAGAACGTATGAAACAGGAGGGTAAAGACAGATTCAGTGGAGACGAGGATGACAATAGTGACAGCTCAGGTAAATATTGTTCATTACTTAGAACGTATGAAACAGGAGGGTAAAGACAGATTCAGTGGAGACGAGGATGACAATAGTGACAGCTCAGGTAAATATTGTTCATTACTTAGAACGTATGAAACAGGAGGGTAAAGACAGATTCAGTGGAGACGAGGATGACGATAGTGACAGCTCAGGTAAATATTGTTCATTACTTAGAACGTATGAAACAGGAGGGTAAAGACAGATTCAGTGGAGACGAGGATGACGATAGTGACAGCTCAGGTAAATATTGTTCATTACTTAGAACGTATGAAACAGGAGGGTAAAGACAGGGTCAGTGGAGACGAGGATGACAATAGTGACAGCTCAGGTAAATATTGATCATTACTGAGAACATATGAAACAGGAGGGTAAAGACAGGGTCAGTGGAGACGAGGATGACGATAGTGACAGCTCAGGTAAATATTGATCATTACTGAGAACATATGAAACAGGAGGGTAAAGACAGGGTCAGTGGAGACGAGGATGACGATAGTGACAGCTCAGGTAAATGTTGTTTATTACTTAAAACGTATGAAACAGGGAGGTAAAGACAGGGTCAGTGGAGACGAGGATGACAATAGTGACAGCTCAGGTAAATATTGTTCATTACTTAGAACGTATGAAACAGGAGGGTAAAGACAGATTCAGTGGAGATGAGGATGACAATAGTGACAGCTCAGGTAAATATTGTTTCATTACTTAGAACGTATGAAACAGCAGGGTAAAGACAGATTCAGTGGAGACGAGGATGACGATAGTGACAGCTCAGGTAAATATTGTTCATTACTTAGAACGTACGAAACAGGAGGGTAAAGACAGGGTCAGTGGAGACGAGGATGACAATAGTGACAGCTCGGGTAAATATTGTTCATTACTTAGAACGTATGAAACAGCAGGGTAAAGACAGATTCAGTGGAGACGAGGATGACGATAGTGACAGCTCAAGTAAATATTGTTCATTACTTAGAACGTATGAAACAGGAGGGTAAAGACAAGTTCAGTGGGGATGAGGATGACAATAGTGACAGCTCAGGTAAATATTGTTCATTACTTAGAACGTATGAAACAGGAGGGTAAAGACAGATTCAGTGGAGATGAGGATGACGATAGTGACAGCTCAGGTAAATTGTTGGATTTAAATAACTAAGGCCTGTTCCATTAGAATTATTTGTTGAAGGTAGGAAGAGAAGTTACAATTTTGGACATTGTCATTCAGTTGTGTTTGTATGTTTATTTGATGTATGCAAAATTACAAATAAACTATTGGTTGTGGGGAGATTTTGTAGAAATAAAGGCAACAGTAGTATACATCTGTTCAACAGTCATACATCAATTAAGAGAAAACAAATCCAGGTTACAAACTAAAACCAAGGGAGACACATCAACTATAAGTTGAAAACAACAAAACAACAGAAACACTGAACAGCAACAAAAACAAATGCCAACATACATAGAAATGAACTATATGATAACAACTGCAACATTCCTGACATGGTACAGAGATTTAAAGAAAAAATGGTGGGTTGAACCTGGTTTTATGGCAATGTTAAATACTGCTAAAATGACAACACTACTTGACAGGAATACTGTACAAACAAACACAAGAGAATCCTTTCCAACCCGGCCACATCCATTGTATTTAAAGCAATAGTCCATTGATTTTTTTATATACTTGGAATACGAAACAAGTGATTGATGTTTATATAAGATAAGACACTGCTGTTCAAATATTTGAATGCATAATTTTGTGTTGCCTGAATATAAGTAAGAAATCTTAAATGAAAAGGTTTAAAGATATTTTTACGTTTTTCAGATGAATCGTTCAACCCTGGTGAGAGTGGTAGTGAAGTGGCTGAAGAGTAAGTATAAATCATGTTGCAGTAGCGAGGACGCCATTGAAAATTAAAAATTTAAGTAGTTATGCTGGTCTATGACATAGTTAAATATCAGAAGGTTATAGTGGTGATTCTGTACAGTCCAAGGGTAAAAATGTTTGGAGTTTTCATGTATATAAGAGTACCTAATTAGTGGCTGCATACTGCAACAGCTATTACTACTTTTAACTGTTATGAAAAGTCTTGACTTTAGTGGTGGTGTGTTGCAATTTAGTTTTTCTGTGTAGTGTTCTGCGGAATTGTCTGCCCTTTCTTCATCTTTTGTGTTTTTTCAAGACGTTGTCAGATTCTTTTTGACTTCTGAGTTATGAATATCTCCTTGGTTTCTTCCACCTCTTTTTTTTACTTCGATTTTCTTCATAATGTTTTATTACTATTTTTTGTTGAAATACAATTATTGATCCTTCTGTCAATGATTTAAACTTGATACAAAAGCTGTTCTTTTTAATTGCTCAATATCTCTTGTAGCAGTTGAAAAGGAGGGAAATATTTGTGTAAGGCAGAAATTAGTAAAGAATTAATGTTGTAGCACCTTTCCTTTGGTAGTAAGATTTAATTTTCTCCGTCTGTCCTTACATTATTGTGTATGTATATATCTTGCATAGATAATTGATATGCCCATCATAGTTTTTACTTTTAATAGCAGATGGTAGATTACCATATTTGCAATCCCCAGTCACCATTTGTCAAAATATATACGTTTTGTGGATATGAGAGTAAAAATCATGTAAATTTTGTAGATATGACAGCAATCCACCAACAACCTCAGATAGTGAAACTGACTACGAGTATGATTCAGGGGGAGACAATGCCAGTGAAGATGGGGAGCAAGACGAAGAAGCTAAAGAAAAGAGGGCAGAGAAAAAGAAACAACAGAAAGAAAAGAAGGAAAAGGAAAAGAAGTCGAAAACTGCAAAAACTGTGGTAAAATATTTGTACGACTTCCCGGTCTTGGACAAGCACTTTTAAATCTAAATTACTGTAAATTTATGATTATTCGTGGGATACCAATTTTCGTGGATTTCGTTGATCCAGGTGAATCAAGAAATCTAATGTTCAACAAAGAACACTTTAAATTTTCTAAATGCTTGTTTGCAGACTTTTTGAACACCACAAAAATTGGTGCCCAAGAAAAATAAATGAATCCATAGTAACTGAAAAAATAACATGCAAAATTAAAAAAAATATATGAATAGAGACTTTATGATTTCAATACCATACTGGATGTTAACAAAAAAAAATCAAGCATACAAACAATCTTTGAATAGAAAGGAATAGAATTGTCACAAACTTTTTCTTTTCTTCATATGCAGAAAGAAGGTTCAACAAGAAAGAAGAAGAAGCAGAAGAAAGATGTTGACCCAAACAAACCTTAGAGGCCAATGACATCATATATGATGTGGTTCAGTACAAACAGAAATGATATCAAAGAGAAAAACCCTGATGCTTCCCTCACAGATATAACCAAGAAAGGCGGAGAACTTTGGAGAGCTATGGATGCTAGTGAACGAGGAGTAAGTTTGCTTTTTTTTTCCAACTTCAAATATTTTATTACACTACTGATTGTGAACAATGTCCCTTAGCACTACAACAATGACGCTAAGGTTCCCCCCTGCATTATTAATTGCTAATGAAACTAGGGGATTTGATTTGCAAAATAGGAGTAAGTTTACAATATTGTTTTTCCACCATTGAAATAATCAGTGGTTTGATCTGAAATTCAAGATTGCTATCATAGCTAAGGGAAATATAGTATACACTATGGATTGCTGTTGAAGAAATTTCTGGATAACCTTTATAATTATGAATTCATGGAGACAAGTTTTTCAAAAAAAAATTTAAGTTAACATAACTTCTACATACTGGCCCTCTTGTATTTTCAGTTTTGAAGCACAAGAAAAAATCAATTAGAATTGTAGATTGGTACTTCATGTCATTCTGTTCCAATCTTAAAAAATTGAAATAAATAATGATGAATTTTGGTGAAATTTCAGATTTCCTATAGTTTATTAAAAATATTTTTTTGTAAATTGTTTGATGATTTATTTTTTTCTCACTTGTACAAAAGTCACAGATGCAATACTAAGGGGTAAGTCTCTTGTCACACAGACAAGGTGTTTTTCTGTGTTAACAGTTTATTAATATCTGCTACGTATATCTGTTTGAACTTTTGTAGGAATGGGAGCAAAAATTTCTGAAAGCAAAGGAAGAATATAATGTTGCTATGGAGGAATATCTGAAAAATAAACCTCAGGCAGGCAGTGGTGAGGAAAATGAAGGAGAAGATAGCAAGTAAGTTCTCGTATAAAATGGGCAAAGGTATCACTTGACATGAAGAAAGCAAGTAAGTTCTCGTATAAAATGGGCAAAGGTATCACTTGACATGAAGAAAGCAAGTAAGTTCTCGTTTAAATGGGCAAAGTTGTCACTTGACATAAAGATAGCAAGTAAGTTCTCGTTTAAAATGGCCAAAGTTGTCACTTGAAGAGAAGATAGCAAGTAAGTTCTCGTTTAAAATGGCCAAAGTTGTGTCTTGAAGAGAAGATAGCAAGTAAGTTCTCGTTTAAAATGGGCAAAGTTGTCACTTGACATGAAGATAGCAAGTAAGTTCTCTTATAAAATAGGAAAAGTTGTCACGTGACACAAAATTAGTTAAAAAACACGACACATAAGGGCTGTTTCACTAAAACATATATGATACCCTGGGAAGGCACTTTGAAAAAGGGGTAACAATCTATAGCTATCATGCCACATCTTTTTTTATATATAGTGTACCATGTCAATCAGTATTATTATACTCTGCCTTGGTATAAAAAAAAGGGGGGTATACTGTTATACCTCTGTCTGTCTGTCTGTCTGTCTGTCTGTCTGTCTGTCCATCCATCCATTGGTCCATCCCTCAGTCCATCTGTCCGTCCGACCCTTGAATATTTTTGTCACATCTTTCTCAGGAACTACATTACATATTCGGTAAACAGGAAGTTGTTGAGTGATGAATCTAAAAACGCTTTACACAGTATAACTCAACTCAATAACTTCCTGTTTACTGTCAAGTATTTGGGTGGGGGTATCATCAGTGAGCAGTAGCTCGCAGTTTCACTTGTTTTAAAAGGAAGAAGTATGAAAATAAAAAGTATTGTATTTTATGTGTGTAAACAATATTTATTCAGATAAATCATCACGTGACAATAAAATACACTTGAAATAAACATCTAGGAGTCAGAATCAAGCAAATTTATTTTTACGAATCTGTCTCCTATTTTTTTTAACAGATCAGGTAGTAGTAAAAAGAAGAAATCTCAGAAATCCAGTCCAAAGAAGGCTGTTGATACTAAAGCTGGAACGGAGGGAATTATAAGAGCAAAGAATACATCTCAAGTGGTTCTAGCTCAGACTCAGATGCCCCACTGAAGAAAAAAATAAAGAAAGAAAAATCAAAACCTAAGGAAGGAAAGAAAAAAGGAAAGGAAAAGGGAAAGAAGGAACAAAAGAAAAAAGAAAGTGAAGAAGAAAAGTCTAGTAGTGCAGGAGAGGTAATATTTTTGTTTGGTTTTTTTTTGGGGGGGGGGGGGGGGGGGTCTTGAGTCTTGAGTTATTGTAGGCAACACATTGTTAATTTGCAACTCTTTAACAACAGATGTCAACCAAACTTGCCCAGATCCTTCTACAGTACACGAAGTTGTGCAAATTATATTTAGATTTTTTATCTTAGGCCACACCAATTTGTTTCCTAGTTCTTTGGATTTTCCTGCTCCTGTTTTGGAGAAATTGACTTTTCAATAAAAGTTTCTGCATATTTTTGGCCCGCATGCCGCTCCAATATTAGTTTCTTCTTGGAAATTTTTGTTCACATAGACGCTTTTCTGTTGCATATAATGTATCAGTACACCATTTATTTATAAAAATATGTAAGGAGTGGAGATATTTCATATGACATATGATAGCTAAAGGTGAGATCTATTACTCGTAAAATATGTTTGACATTAAACAGCCTTCCATCATCATTTTGAAATCTTCGAATGTTGAATTTTCATTGTATGATATAAACAATTTTTTTTTATTTTTTTTACAGCTGCCATCTGATGAGGAGATCTTAGCAACACCAAAATCATCACACAAAGGATCAGGATCAGAATCTGGATCATATTGAACAAAATGAAATGAAAATCAACACTTAGTATGTTGACAATGGTTGATGTCAATTCTAATTATTTTTTGAACAATTGACCAAAGTTATCTTTCTACACATTCTTGTAGATAAGTTGATCATTAAGGTTATGTTTTATATGACCGCAACAAAATTTTTGTGGTCGTATATTGGTATGACGTTGGCGTCGTCGTCCGAAGATACATTAGTTTTCTCACTCTAACTTTAGTTTAAGTGAATGGATCTCAATGAAATTTTACCATAAGGTTCAATACCACAAAAGGAAGGTGGGGGTTGATTTTGGGGGTTATGGTACCAACAGTTAAGGAATTAGGGGCCAACAAAATGCATTTTTGTAACTTCCAGACATAACTTGTGTGTAAGAGTATGGATCTCTCTGACATTGTACCACAAGGTTCCATATCACAAACCGAATGCTGGGATTGATTTTGGGGTAATTGCCTCCAAATTTTAGGAATTAGGGGCCAAAAAGGGGCAAAAAACAAGCATTTTTCTAGTTTCATGACAATAACTTGTGTGTAAGTCTATGGATCTCTCTGACATTGTATCACAAGGTTCCATATCACAAAGGGAATGCTGTGATTGATTTTGGGGGTAATTTTAGGAATTAGGGGCCGAAAAGGGGCAAAAAGCTAGCATTTTTCTAGTTTCATGACAATAACTTGTGTGTAAGTGTATGGATCTTTATGAAATTGTACTACAAGGTTCCATATCACAAAGGGAAAGCTGGAATTGAGTTTGGGGATAATTGCCCAAAAATTTTAGGAAAAAGGGGCCAAAAAGGGGCCAAAAATAAGCATTTTTCTAGTTTCCAGACAATAACTTGTGTTCAAGTGTATGGATCTCTATGAAATTGTACCGCAAGGTACCATACCACAAAGGGAAGGCTGGGATTGATTTTGGGGGTAATTCCCTCAAAATTTTAGTAATTAGGGGCCATAAAAGGGCAAAAAAACAAGCATTTTTCTAGTTTCAGGACAATAACTTGTGTGTAAGGGTATGGATCTTTATGAAATTGTACTACAAGGTTCCATATCACAAAGGGAATGCTGGAAGTGAGTTTGGGGGTAATTGCCCAAAAATTTTAGGAAAAAGGGGCCAAAAATAAGCATTTTTCTAGTTTCCAGACAAAAACTTGTGTTCAAGTGTATGGATCTCTCTGAAATTGTACTGCAAGGTACCATACCACAAAGGGAAGGCTGGGATTGATTATGGGGGTAATTCCCTCAAAATTTTAGTAATTAGGGGCCATAAAAGGGCAAAAAAACAAGCATTTTTCTAGTTTCAGGACAATAACTTTGTGTGTAAGTGTATGGATCTTTATGAAATTGTACTGCAAGGTTCCATATCACAAAGGGAAAGCTGGGTTTGAGTTTGGGGGTAATTGCCCTAAATGTTTAGGAATTTGGGGCCAAAAAGGGGCCAAAAAACAAGCATTTTTCTAGTTTCCAGACAATAACTTGTGTTCAAGTGTATGGATCTCTCTGAAATTGTACTGCAAGGTACCATACCACAAAGGGAAGGTTGGGATTTAGTTTTGGGGTGATGAATCATAAGGGGGTTCAAAAAATTTGGGGGGGGGGGGGGGGGGTTTTCCTTTTTTTTTCTTTAAATTTTTTTATTTTAAATTGGGTTATTTCTGATTTATATATAAAGCAAATAATAATGATATGGTTTAAATAGGCAAATTGAAAAAATTTAAGTTCTAAGACCACTTTCATTCTGTGTCAGAAACCTATGCTGTGTCTAATATTTAATTACAATCCCAATTCAGTGCTGTATCAAGCTTGAATGTTGTGTCCATACTTGCCACAACTGTTCAGGGTTCGACCTCTGCGGTCGTATCAAGCTGCGCCCCAGCGGAGCATTTTATTCATTTTAAAATGACTGTATCAGAGTACAGTATCACTGTCAGATAGGTTTATTCTAGTGATTTCATCTGTTGTAGGATACTAGTGTAATACAAAGACGTTATTAGCTTGTTGCAATTGTAATCATCCAAACTGAATACAAAATGAGAAAATGAAGAACAATGTATATCATTAATGACTTTGTAATGTTCAGATGTATGATTTCATCATTGTAGCCTCTTGTGCTAATTTCAGTGGAAGTAAAAATGTAACAAACTGTTATTATTTATATTATATTATATCCCTTTTTAGCTCACCTTTCCGAAGAATATGTGAGCTTTTGTCATCACTTGGCGTCGTCGTCGTCCCTCGTTGTAAACTATTTCAAACATCTTCCCCTCTAAAACTACAGAACCAATTCCAACCAAACTTAAGATGAATGACCCTTAGGGTATCTTGAATAAGGTTTGTGTTTTATTTTCTGGTTTGTCAAAAAACATGGCCGCCATGGCTCAAAATAGAACATAGGGGTATAATGCAGTTTTTGGCTTAAGGTAGTTTGGGGGTTTAAATTTTCGCGCTGTCTGCGCATGAAGTTGCTCAATGATATCGTAAGTCATGCTTATTGTCGTAATTTGCCATGAAAATGACATTTGATTATTAAAATAATCTATTTTATTTAAATACATTGAGGTCTTTTGGGACAATTTATATCAAATTTATAGAAAACTTCATCAGCTCTTACTCAAAATATGAACAATTTCATGTTAAGCAGGTCTGGAATTCTTTTGACAGCTTCAGACATACTAACTTTTAATCTTTTTCAGCTGTACCATTCATGATACAAAGTTTTTTTTACAGTGTAATTTCATCCCCATACTTCCTCTTTAAGGCATAAAAAAATGAAGAAATAAATTTTTAAAGTTGTATGAAAATATTGAAAGTAATACACTGTTCACACTAGGGTCTATATTTGTAGACACCGAAAAATCCAAGGACGATAACTGTGTTCTTATCTAATAGGATAGAAAGACTTAACCAATCTTAATAAAACTTGGTATGACCAAAGCTTACTAAATTAAAAGACCAAGTTTCATGGCAATAAGATATATATTATAGACAAAATGACCACATGTATATTCAACTTTGGTTGTTAAATTTTGACGTTAAAATTGAAGAATTTCAACTATCAACATTTGGGGCTTTAAACATTTAAATATTGCAAAAAATACCTTTTAAATGCCCTAATTTTAAATGTGTCATGTATTTAAAGCAAAAGAATACTCATTTGATGTATCAGATGTATAAAAATTATTCAAAAGTCAAAATTATGAGTCTGTGCCTTAAAATAAAGGTTTTCGAATGAAGGGGGGCCTTGCATGAAGATGTAATCTTTTTCAGCAATTTAAAATTTGTGAAGTTTTTTTGTTACAAATAATCCTTCCATATGTACAAAATATACTTTAAATGGAAAGAAAATTACAAATAGCATATCATATTAGTATTAAATGGTCTTAGGCCAAATAACACTGAAAATAATTCAGGGTTAATTTAGGCCATAGCACATGCATTGTATTTACATTTAAAAATGCATACTGAAACTTTTTTAAAGACAGTATGGTCTAATACAAAGTTTTTTCACTTTTCAGTGAAAAATCTGCATGTAATTTTAGTCTCAACAGGCATATATTTGAACCACTTAGGGATCATAGATTTATTCTTACGAGGAAGCTCTGAGCATGCTCGGAGGATGCTTGGAGCTTTTTAAGTAGGCTCTTCTCAGCAGTTTATGTGACAATAATTATCATGATCCATTAAGATGTCAATCAAATCTATAGCACGTTTATAATAAGGAAAGTAGAGCATTATAGAGGAAGCTCCATTAACACCTGTGTAAACATCTGGTCTATTCAAACAAATCTTGCATTAATTTTACAAAACTATAAAATAGATGAGAAATTCTTCAATATTACTGTACAATGCTTGGTATCAAGTCTTCACAGAAAGAAAATGATTTAAAAAAAATTTCCTAATATCATTCTTTTTCAATACACATGATACAGAAAAACACTCAAATTTTATATTTGAAATATAAATATATTTTAAATTTATTTTATATAAAATGAAATATAAAAGTCATCAAAGACACAAACTATGGTTATTGATTTATAACCATACTACCAAAACATAGTACATTCAGTTTCATGCAAAAAAGGGTTGATCTTTGTTTATATTCCATTTAATTTGACAGTTGTTTGAAATTAACCCTCCATTTCATTGCAGAAAAGTTTTTTTGAGTCGTAAACATGTTTCTTGGATGTTTCAAAGCAATAAAAATATACTCTATTCTGCAGGGAAAAAAGGGGGAGAGAATTTGATTGGTTAACTTCGATGGTCATGTTTACTTTCTTATATGCACTGAAAAGTTATGCTGTATTTTCACTGTAGTACAGGACATTTATTTATGTCAAGTATTTCTTTATTTAAAAGATAGATAAATTCTTCACATTTTTTTTTAAATATAACAATCATGACAATTAAACAAAGACTTATAGGGGGAAAATAATTTTATTCATGCCAAGTATTTCTTTATTTAAAACAAAGCTAAATCTGCACAATTAAACAAAAAAATGCCAAGAAAAGAGAGACGTACTAGAGGGAAAACAATGGTGGTATTACCCCCTCAAACCAGGCTTCCACTAAAGAATTACAACTTTTCTTAAAGTAGCAATAATTTTCTATAAAAGAACTTAGTTTGCTATTTAAAAAAAACATATTACCATTGTTTAGTTAGGGGCATTACTTAAGCAAGTAATTTTCAAAATTACCTATACAAGTTACGTTGAAAACGAGGCTGTTTCAAATATCTATATCATGAATAAGTAACTTCTGTTAATATCATTTTTATAGGTGTCCATTCATACAGGTTTTTCTAGCTTTAACAAATTTTCACAGACATCTGGTTATTTTCCCCATGAAATATACTGGTAAAACTATTTAAATCCTCAACAAGCACTAATTGCTTTTCTGATGCCACACTTCTTGGTCAAAGATTGGCCTCTTGGGGCTATTAAAATATCATTTCCCCTTAAAATCTTAGAGATAGACAGTTATAACTAGATATGGAACCTTTAATTTAGACTTGTAGTTATTTATAATTT